AAAAGGTAGGTTATATTATTTAAATAGTATTTCATCCTCTAAGAATAGTGCATGTTCTCTGCATGAACGGCATAAAATCCTTGGTCACTGTAATTATGGTGATGTTCAGAAATTGGAAAATGTTGTAGAGGGGATGAATATTTCCAACTATGATGAAGTAGAGTGTACTGTTTGCACTAAAGGTAAGATGTGCCAATTTAGGAATAGATCCCCAGATGAAAGAGCAACTGCTCCATTAGATTTTGTGCATTGTGACCTGGCTGGTCCTATTGATCCTGTAGGAAGAGATGGCTTTAAGTATGCTTTGTCATTCGTTGATGACCATTCAGGGATTATTATGGTCTATTTTCTAAAATGTAAGAGTGATACTTCAGAAGCATTACAGCAATATTTGGCCGATGCTGCTCCTTTTGGGAGGGTTAAGCGTGTCAGGAGTGACAAGGGCACAGAATTCACTAGTCATCAATTCAAATCCTTTCTTCGAGAAAATAGGATAAGGCATGAGACTAGTGCACCATATTCCCCACATCAGAATGGAACGGTGGAAAGAGCATGGTTGAGTCTTTTTAATATGGCTAGATGTTTGTTGCTTGAGGCAAACTTGCCAAAGCCCATATGGACTTATGCTGTTATGGCAGCAGCCTACATCAGAAATTGTTGCTTCAATGCGAGATTGGGCAAAACTCCTTATGAGGCATTTACAGGGTCTAAACCAGATTTGAGCAATATGCATGTCTTTGGTTCCGTTTGTTACGCATATGTGCAAAATGCAAAGAAATTAGATCCTAGAAGTGAACAGGGTATATTTGTGGGATATGATAAAAGAAGTCCTGCATATCTTGTCTTTTATCCTCATTCCAATAAGGTTGAACGTGTAAGGTGTGTGAAATTTTTCAATGAGAGCAACCATGAATCTAAGGTTAGTCCTGACGAACAGGAAGGGGAATTTCTGCCCAGTAAACTGTCTGCACCTATCGCCAATGAGAGTGTAATATCAACACAAGGGGATGAAAGTGTAAATGGCACTGAAACTGTGCATGATGAAGTACGGTACCCTAGTCGAACTCGTACTAAGCCAACATATTTGAATAAATATGTAACTGGTAAGGTTGTTAATGATGCAGCAACATGTGCAGTTGATTATTGCTATAGAACCCATGACATTCCAACTAGCTATTCCCAAGCAGTACATTCTCCTGAAAGAAATAAATGGGAAAAGCCATGGATGATGAAATTGAGGCCTTAGAGGGCAACGAAACTTTCGAGTTGGTCCCACCCCCAAAGGGCCGTGAGGTAGGAGGAAAATGGGTGTATACCGTTAAGACAGGACCAGATAAGGCTGAAACATACAAAGCTCGTTATGTAGCAAAAGGCTACTCGCAGATTCCTGGTATTGATTACCATGAAACCTTTTCCCCAACCGCTCGGATGAGCTCTATTCGTGTTTTATTGCAGCAGGCAATTCAGAATGATATGCTTGTTCATCAGATGGACGTAAAAACAGCCTATTTAAATGCCCCAATAGACTGTAAGATTTTCATAGAACAGCCAGAAGGCTACGAAAGGGTAGGACAAAATGGTGAGAGGTTGGTGTGCAAATTAAACAAGTCTTTGTACGGTCTTAAGCAGAGTGGACGCAAATGGAACAACATGCTACATGATTACCTTATGAAGGAGAGCTTCACTCAATAATTTGCTGACCCATGTGTTTACATTAGAAATGGTGGTACAAATGAATGTACAATTATCATCATTTGGGTTGATGATCTCATAATTTCTGCTAGCCATGGAATTCTTTTGCAGAGTGTGAAACATTCTTTAAGTAATAAATTTAGAATGAAGGACCTAGGAGTATTGTCATGGTTCCTAGGCACAGAATTCAAGTGTTCTGAAGGCGCAATTGAAATGAGCCAAAAGCAATATATTGAGAAATTGCTGTTAAGGTTTGGCATGACAGAATGCAAGCCAAAGGTGACCCCAACAGCACTAGGTTTAGATAAGGTTGTGGATACGAAATCACCTGAATTAAAAGATCCAACTCTTTATAGAGCTATAGTTGGGAGCTTAATATATGTGATGACAGGTACAAGGCCTGATTTGTGTTATATAGTCACTAAGCTTTCCCAAAACATGTCGAAACCCACTGAATCTAACCTTATTGCTGCAAAACATGTTCTAAGGTATTTGAAAGGCACAATTGAGCAAAGATTGTAACATTGGCACATTGTAACATAAACGCACTTGATGTAAAATATAACTTAGTTCTTGTATGCTCCCACAGAGTGTGTATCTCTTGTAATAAAGAATGACAATTATATAATAATGACAACTACAACGAACTCAACAACTTTAATCTTGCAATATACATTCAATTTAATCCTGCAATATACATTCAAAAAACTCTGTATTTAAATTTATTAAACACACCTCTTTGGGTGAACTTTGTCTGTTAATACAAAAGCAAGCAAATTTGTCTTGTAGATTTCAAATGAAACCATTTCTCTCCATTTCGCATTTCGAATAATAGACTCGAGATTACAAAATACGAATGTAAACTCTCCATCTAGTATTGCTTTCTCATCCTCTTTGTTTGACAGTGAAGTCAGCACGGCATCCACGCTTTCTTAGTTCACGGACGTGAGAGTCAATGAAAGAGTTCAATTTGCAAATGACTATTAAGAAGGGTTTCTCCAGAAAATTGTGGCTTGTGCCAAGTCGTCGTGCTACTCTCGGTGCTAGAACTTAAACATTTCAAAATTCAAATGCTTCAATTCAATCAAAACACGAAACGCCTGCGAACAAGCTATGATGTTTGCAATATCCAATCAGAACACGTATAGTCTATCGAACCTATAGTCAGCAGCCAATCAACTCTTTCCTTCCAATTTTGAAAGTTATGTATGGAATGAACCCGAAAACCCCGCCAATTTCACCAGAGGGTTATTCAAAACAGGCAAAAATAAATACCCTCTGGCTCCAGGGTACCCCCTTGGATGACCAAATCGTTAAAACAATCGATTCACCGAAGGGAAAAAGCTTTTGCACTAAACGATTTAGATTCTTTTAAGAAATTAAGAAACCAAGTAAACCGCGACAGGAAATCTTGTGGGAAACGTTTCTATCGAAAAAAAGTTGAACATCTGAAGTCTTGTTCACCTGCTACATGGTGGAAGGAAATCAAAAAGTTAAATGGCGTATCTTCACCTGTGCCCTCACATGAATACACGATATCAATCCTGCACAATATTGATAAAGAGTCATTGCCATCTGATCACACTCCTGAGCAACTTGCAAACATGATTAACGAATCTTTTATAACGCCTATGAAAGCCTTTATTCCACTACTCCCCCACTTACGCCTTGACAATGAGGATGACGACTTCCCGAGTTAGTTGCCCGTCACCGAGTTTTCTGTTTCAAGATGTTGTCAACTCTTAAGGCAAGGAAAGCAACTGGCCCAGACGGCATTCCCACCTGGGTCTTAAAAGAGAATGCTGACATATTGGCTTCTTCTGTGGCGGATATCATAAACAGCTCTTATAAAGAAGCTCAATTACCAGAATCATGGAAAAAAGCAAACATTACACCAATTCCAAAGCAGAAACCTGTCCATGATGTAAATAAACATTTAAGGCCCATATCACTTACTGCGATCGTATCAAAAGTAGCTGAAGAATTTGTCGTGGAAAACTATGTTAAACCAGCTGTACTTAAGAGAATAGACCCTAATCAGTATGGGGCAATCCCAAACTCAAGTACAATCATAGCTCTACTCAGTATGTTACAATCCTGGAATAAGGCAACTGACGGCAATGGAGCGGCTGTTCGGGTACTGTTATTGGACTTTAAGAAAGCTTTTGACCTGATTGATCATCACTTATTGGTTGAAAAACTACTCTTATTTGATATACCGAAATGGGTTTTAAACTGGATTATGGTTTTTCTCTCGTTTAGAAAGCAAAGAGTTAAGCTGAAACATGATTGTTTCTCGGAGTGGGAACTTGTACCTGCGGGTGTTCCACAGGGGACAAAGTTGTGGCCTTGGCTATTCCTGATTATGATCAATGACCTTAAGTTGCAAAATGAAATGCGGAAATTCGTGGACGATACCACCGTCAGTGAAGTAATTGGGAAAGATCAAACAAGTAACTTGCAAAACCAAATGGACATTTTAACGAACAGCATTTCATCTGACAAGTTTCAGTTAAACGAAACAAAATGTAAAGAAATGAGTATTTGTTTTGGACCTAATGTTAACGACTTTCAACCAATAACCATCAATAACATTACATTGGATATTGTCCAAAATGCGAAAGTCTTGGGATTACATATAGCTAACAATCTTTAAGTGGAATATCCACATGAATGAAGTGATCAAGAAATGTCGTAAACGCCTTTACCATCTTACCCAACTGAAACGAGCAAACATTGGACTCATGGAATTACTTCAATTCTACAAATTGTGTATAATACCCGTTTTGGAGTATGCCTGCCCGGTCTTCCACAATAGTCTTACATTGTATTTGTCAAGCGACCTAGAGTCAGTCCAAAAGCGAGCACTAAAAATAATTCTGCCCCATCATAACTATGAAAACGCTCTGAAATCTACTAACTTGCAACGTCTCACTGAAAGGAGGAATGATCTAACAACGAAGTTGTTCCAGAAAATAGTTGCGGATTCATCTCACAGGCTCCATGGCTATCTGCCTCCCCGTTTAGAACATTTAAACATGGAACTTAGGACACAACATTTATTTAATATTAAATTCAATACTAAACGCTTTAGGAGTAGTTTTATATCTTACAATTCATGGAAGATGTATAGGATTGTCTGATACTGCACGGCTGTTGATCAATCAAATTGCGTGTTTCTCTGTAGTTATTATATAAAATAGTTTCGCAGATCTGTGAGAGAATCAGATTAGTACTGTATCAATGGTAATTTTCCGTAACGTATTGCGGGTTATGCATGGGGTTAGTTTTTTCTGTAATCAGAAAACTAATTCAACACCGAATATTTCGTTAAAGAGGCGTAAATGTTTCACATTAGATTACAACCAGGGTTAGTTCTGTTGCAAATTACGACTGAAGGCTTTTACATTGCCGTTTCCAGTCCATATTGTCTTAACATCTAACTTTCATCTGAACTTTCATCTAACTTTCATCTGAGTCCGCGATGTGTACAGCGGTTTAACCTGTGCTCGCGATATTCTGAGCCTGTGATTGGTTTATTTCAGAAAAAGTTTATTTTTTAATTTAAAACTAGTCTTGTGTGAAGACAATCTCGAAACCAGAGCCCGCAATCCTCTGTGGAGGCTTGCTGAGGCTCTGGGAAACACTGATGAAAGTCGAGCTCATCCCCGTTCCCAGGGCTTCTCGGCTGCCTGCGTTGCCGTAAGCCCTGGGACAAGCCAAACCAGAACACCACAAATTTTGGTGTTTTCCGGAAGTAAACGCGCTCTGCTGCAAGCTAAAATGCTGACTATGCACTAATTTTTACTGAGGAATGGAGACGTGTTGGTGAGCAGAAAATATTGGATTTTTCTTTTGTTTCGATGTATTTTCCACCATCAAGGGAATATATACAGACCACCTAATGGAATTATACATATTGGGGGTTCAGTGCCGTAGCAAGCTCGATAATTGGGGGGGCTGATATGCATATATTCGTGTTCACAGACCATAAAAACAATCGATTTCAAAAGAAATTAATAACGCAGAACACGAATATATGAATATCAGCCCCCCCAATTATCGAGCTTGCAACGGCACTGGGGTTTATATTTCGTTATATCGTTAATATTCGTCAAATACAACCATATTTCGGTCTCGTATTACATGTATCAATTTTCATGTATGATGTAAACATGATCGAGTCGAAATGTGCTCGAAGTGGCCGCTGTGATTCGAAACATCATGGGTTCTTGTACAGATGACCTGTTTCAACACGCGCTTGTAAAGTCACTTCAAAGACTGGACAAAGCCGGACTAGAAATTAAAGAGAAGTAATTCGAAGCTTTATCGTCTGTATATAAAAGGAACAAGAACGACATGTGACATGTCTAAACGCCGGCGGTGTGTGTCTGTTTACTGGGTTACAACAACAGCAATAACAATGAATCACCTAACATTACAAGAATATATAAATTATAGATAGATGTCATGCATGACCCCATGAGTTTTGGATTTGAATTGCTAGATTTAAATCTATATTATGTATACAAAATCATGCGTGCGTAAATTTGAGCAAAAAAGCACAAGGTGTTTGTTTGGCCATATGCCCATCATGTAGTATGAATATTGAACACCGTTTTATATAGCACGTTTAAAACGTTATTTCCATGCCGGATAATCCTGAATCCTTCACCGATTACATGCGTGGCAAATGACGAACAATAATTGTGTAAAATAATTAACCTAATATGTCTTTGGCCATGAATGCAACTCACTATGCTGCTATATACTGTACATCTGACAGTCAAAACTATGTGCATGACTGCATGGCCCAATGTATGTTAATTGTTTCAGGGAAATTTTTGTGTTCAGATTAAAGTATAACAATATTTTTTGCATTCCAATATATTTTCACATCAGGGAGTTCATTGCCCCCC